TTTAGTTGTTTCCGTTATGGATTGTAAATTCTGTCACTTTGATATTTTAATTCAAATCATGAGAGAGTTATGTATAGATTTTGACACCATAGTGAGATTATATAAGAAAACACTAAATCACAAAGAGAGTAAAGTATAATTTGTCCTAAATTAAAATATTAATTTTTTTGTTATAGTTAACAATAATAAAGGGTAAGTTGGTTATTTGATTATAAGGCAATTTATATTATATAAAATGGGAAAATAGAAAATCTTTTTCTCTTCATTCCATCCATAAGCCTTACAATGTATCTCTTTTTTATATTTTTTGGTTAAAACATTGTATCTCCTTTTCACCACTTGACCTTACCTTTTCTTTCTTTTTTTGGTAAATTATATTTTATCCCCCTGTGGTTTAGTACTTTTTCTACATAACTCCCCTATGGTTTCAAAAGCTATACATAACCTCCCATAATTTAGATTAAAGTATCAAAGTAACGAAAATAGTCATTCGTAACAAAACTTTTGAAAATGTCAAAATTACCCTTATAAATACATGACACACTAACCCCGTATGATTTTTATATTTTACCATATAACCCCCTTATAGTTTTCAAAATATATACATAATTCTACTTGGTTAATAATTAATTTTCAACTTTACATAAGGGTATTTTTGACATTTTAGATGACTCCATTATGAATGATTATTTCCATCATTTTGATACTTTAATCCAAACCATAAAAGGGTTATGTATAGTTTTTGAAACTATAAGGGAGTTATGTAAAAAGCACCAAATCACAGGGGATAAATTGGAGTTTGCGTCTTCAAACCCAAAATCTTATGACCCAAAATGATGGCGTCTTCAAAATTTCAGAAATGGATGGAGTGCTTGATCTACTTCTTCATTTGTGCATATATGATATTTCTGTCCATGGCTCCAGCCTATTTATGTCAAGTAATTCCGTGCGGTGGCTGCTTGTGGTGCACATGAGCGGTTATCTGGAGAAGATGACGTGAGAAAAGATGATCACATCTGTGATTTGGTATTTTATTACATAACCCTTCTATAGTTTAAAAATTTATATATAACCCCTTCATAGTTTGGATTAAAGTGTTACCATCATTTTTTTCCGTTAAAACTAACAGTCAATAGCAAAAATCAAAGTCAAACTAATAAATAGACAAATTCACCTTTTCACTACATTTTTTTCCTTTCTTTCTTTTTTTCTTCTCTTTTCTTTCTTTCTCTCTCTTTTTTTTTTTTTGGAAGAGAAGAGATGATTTAAAAGCTGTACTTTGGCTTATAAAATATTAATTTTCTCTGGATACAAAAAAGGAAGAAAAATGAAAAATAAATAATTAAGAAATAGAAAAGATGGAAGGAAAGTGAAAAAAATAAATTAATAAGAAACCAAAAAGATGGAAGGGAAATATAAAACAAATAAATAAGAAACAAAAGATACCAAATCTTTATTGACTGCAAATATCATGATAGGCTTTTAGACCAAATCTTTTATGGTATTTTCTATTTATTATTTATCTATTCTTTATTTAAATTACTTTTTTTTTGTATTTGGATGAAAAAAGGAAAATAGTGAAAGAGTAAATTTGTCAATGTATTAGTTTGATTTTGATTTTTTTTTAACTATTGATAGTTAGTTTTGATGGAGAAACTATCGGTGACCCATTAAGTCACACCATGAGGCGGTTATATATAGGTATATTAAGTCAAACCATGAGGGCAAAAGGTAATTTATCCTAATTATTATTTTGTTTGCTTAAAATCTTTGAGAATTTGGGCAAAGTCCAGAGACCACAAAGTGATAATTTCCATACTACTTATCTGGCTGGTTGGTTCAGTATGGAGGAATATGTGTACTGGATGTCCACCTCAATACTCAGACTTGGTCATACACCATGTAATTGGCCACGAATTGGACTCTTTTCTTTGCATTTTAACTTGTGAAAGTTGTTCAAATATTCTCTCGTACTTTAGGAAGTCTTCTAAAGCATCAATGATACTTGAAAGAAGGAATTTAACAACTCATATCTTAGACCGTATTCTTCTATTAGCCTCCTATCCCATTTATAATTAGTTTTCACACTCAATATGTCTTGGTTATGTTTCATGTGCAAGATTTAAGTGGTGAAAATTTGAGGAGTTTGTTTAACCAAAGTACAATATGCTTTTCCCAGGGAAGCTGCTTGGCTTTTTACTGCAAAATAATTTCCCAGGTCAATGCTGGGATTCCCTTTTTTTTTTTTTTTTTAAGTGGCTTGTTTGTGTTGTCATCCTGCACTTGGTTTTGTGAATTGGATTTTGACTCTTGGCTGGCTTGTTCAAACTTCCAAGTTTCTTAAACACAAGTACCTCCCGGAATAGAGAAAATACCAAATTGAGGGCCGGCTTCTACTTTGTGTATTATCCGCAATCAGGTTTGGTTAGGCAGAGCCAAAGAAGAAGTAAGATTTACAGCAACTAGTAGGCGTTGTTCTGAAGCCGCGGATTAAAACGCATACACAGAGTCATGCCAGTAAAGAGAGAGCATTGGCAATCAAATATCAGAGGGTGAATTACACACAATCCCCTTGTAGTTTTGAATAATACCACATTTCAAAATATCTACATAACTCCCCTGTGGTTTCAAAAGCTATACATAACCTCCCATAATTTAAATTAAAGTATCAAAGTAACGGAAATAGTCATTCGTAACAAAACTTTTGAAAATGTCAAAATTACCCTTATAAATACATGACACACTAACCCCGTATGATTTTTATATTTTACCATATAACCCCCTTATAGTTTTCAAAATATATACATAATTCTACTTGGTTAATAATTAATTTTCAACTTTACATAAGGGTATTTTTGACATTTTAGATGACTCCATTATGAATGATTATTTCCATCATTTTAACACTTTAATCCAAACCATAAAAGGGTTATGTATAGTTTTTGAAACTATAAGGGAGTTATGTAAAAGCACCAAATCACAAGGGATAAATTGGAGTTTGCGTCTTCAAACCCAAAATCCCAAAATGATGGCGTCTTCAAAATTTCAGAAATGGATGGAGTGCTTGATCTACTTCTTCATTTGTGCATATATGATATTTCTGTCCATGGCGCCAGCCTATTTATGTCAAGTAATTCCGTGCGGTGGCTGCTTGCGGTGCACATGAGCGGTTATCTGGAGAAGATGACGTGAGAAAAGATGATCACATCTGTGATTTGGTATTTTATTACATAACCCTTCTATAGTTTAAAAATTTATATATAACCCCTTCATAGTTTGGATTAAAGTGTTACCATCATTTTTTTCCGTTAAAACTAACAGTCAATAGCAAAAATCAAAGTCAAACTAATAAATAGACAAATTCACCTTTTCACTACATTTTTTTCCTTTCTTTCTTTTTTTCTTCTCTTTTCTTTCTTTCTCTCTCTTTTTTTTTTTTGGAAGAGAAGAGATGATTTAAAAGCTGTACTTTGGCTTATAAAATATTAATTTCTCTTGGATACAAAAAAAGGAAGAAAAATGAAAAATAAATAATTAAGAAATAGAAAAGATGGAAGGAAAGTGAAAAAAATAAATTAATAAGAAACCAAAAAGATGGAAGGGAAATATAAACAAATAAATAAGAAACAAAGATACCAAATCTTTATTGACTGCAAATATCATGATAGGCTTTTAGACCAAATCTTTTATGGTATTTTCTATTTATTATTTATCTATTCTTTATTTAAATTACTTTTTTTTTGTATTTGGATGAAAAAAGGAAAATAGTGAAAGAGTAAATTTGTCAATGTATTAGTTTGATTTTGATTTTTTTTTTAACTATTGATAGTTAGTTTTGATGGAGAAACTATCGGTGACCCATTAAGTCACACCATGAGGCGGTTATATATAGGTATATTAAGTCAAACCATGAGGGCAAAAGGTAATTTATCCTAATTATTATTTTGTTTGCTTAAAATCTTTGAGAATTTGGTCAAAGTCCAGAGGCCACAAAGTGATCATTTCCATACAACTTGTCTGGCTGGTTGGTTCAGTATGGAGGAATATGTGTACTGGATGTCCACCTCAATACTCAGACTCGGTCATACATCATGTAATTGGCCACGAATTGGATTCTTTTCTTTGCATTTTAACTTGTGAAAGTTGTTCAAATATTCTCTCGGTCTTTAGGAAGTCTTCTACAGCATCAATGATACTTGAAAGAAGGAATTTAACAACTCATATCTTAGACCGTACTCTTCTATTAGCCTCCTATCCCATTTATAATTAGTTTTCACACTCAATATGTCTTGGTTATGTTTCATGTGCAAGATTTAAGTGGTGAAAATTTGAGGAGTTTGTTTAACCAAAGTACAATATGCTTTTCCCAGGGAAGCTGCTTGGCTTTTTACTGCAAAAAATTTCCCAGGTCAATGCTGGGATTCCATTTTTTTTTTTTTGAAGTGGCTTGTTTGTGTTGTCATCCCGCACTTGGTTTTGTGAATTGTTCAAACTTCCAAGTTTCTTAAACACAAGTACCTCCCGGAATAGAGAAAATACCAAATTGAGGCCGATTCTACTTTGTGTATTATCAGCAATCAGGTTTGGTTAGGCAGAGCCAAAGAAGAAGGAAGATTTACAGCAACTAGTAGGCATTGTTCTGAAGCCGCGGATTAAAATGCATACACAGAGTCATGCCAGTAAAGAGAGAGCATTGGCAATCAAATATCAGGGGGTAAATTACACACAATCCCCCTGTAGTTTTGAATAATACCACCTTTCAAAATAGTCATGCAAAGCAATAAGACGTTCAATTCCATCTATATATATATGGCTATAAGTGATGTCCTGAATCAAAAAATGATGGAGGAAACTGGACTGCGACGTGGGTTGGTAAGAGAATCAGATGCGTGATAATTGTTGATTTCTTGCAAAATCTTGTACATTTGGTTACTTGAAACAGGACACTAATAAACATCAAATGAAAACGCGAATCCAACAAACAAGGCTTGATAAGCTGTGATTAAAAATGCCATATCAACTAGAGTTTACTGATACGAATTCAATCAGGAAGTTGATGTCAGTTTCATTAAATTAACAGAGAGTGAGCATGAAAATAACATTTAGCTCAGTATAACGGAATTCAACACGAATAGCCAAATATACAACTTTCAAGAAGGATGCAAGTTATCTAGCAGGGTTCAGCTAATCCACATCTTTCTGCTGCAAAAGACTGGCTACTTTGAAGTACAAGCAGCACGGAAGATATGGCAAATTGTGTTCCAAAAGAAGTAAAAGAGCACCTCATTAACATGTCTACAAATTGCTGAATCGGTTGGACAGTTTAAAATCACAGCCGGCAAGGAAGATCTGAGGCTTTGGCCATCCGAGGCAGAGAGCAAAAGGGAGTTCCATCCGGGATGTTTTCATCTGATCTTACTGAATCAGGATCTGGTTCAACAAGGGATCACAGGACTTCATTACAAATGATAGTAAGAGCGAGCTATCAAGGTTAATGTTGATCTTCGAGTGTAAAATCACTGCAAAACACAAAAACTCAAACTTAAGAAACTCAAGACAGCATGTAGTCAAGAATAAAGCCAGCACATAGTTGCATGACATTTTTGTTGTATTTGAAACACTAAAATAAGAACTTACCATGAAGAGATGAGCAATATCAACAAGTATAGGTGGTAGAATGAGCTTAATAGCCATCATCACAGCGGATGAATTAATTGCAGCCAACAAGCATGCTTGGCAGTCTTGACTAACCACAGCGATATGCTTCAAAACTTGCAGCTTAGACTTGATTGTGTTAGAAGATACTATAACAAGTCTGTGCAGCTTCACTGCATGAACAGTACATCTTCCATGGCTGCTCCCAAAAACATTTCCATTATGAGAAGATTTCTCAAGTTTTGGTTGTAATATGTTCAGAATCAAAGTAGTTAAAAGTCAAATTTGACTAGTAAAAGATGAGCAATATATCTGATCTTACCGGACTCTTAGAATCAAAAAACCAATTTGATGACCAACAGCTCTGGGAAACTCCTGAAATGTTTACGACTAGAAAATCACAACCAAGGAAAAGTGAGACAGAAACCCATCATTTACAAGACTTATCGAACAAATCACAAATCAAATGGTTCAAGAAGCTTGATAAATGCGCCTTCAAGAGGCGATTAAACTTTGGAGCAACTATTTATCCCTCTAGAATCATAAGCTAGGGAGCTGATCACTTTAGCAATCACATCTTACATCCACAAAAGCAGATATATAAAATCAACAAACTAAACTTCTAGTGCGTATTTCATATTGATGGGTAACTTGTAGGAAATGCAAAACAAAAATTAATGAATACCAGCTATAAAATTCTAATCTATGTTCATCTCGGGGAGAGAGACAAAAATCTGCCTGCTAAGTGCAGGAGGAAGGAGTGCAGTAGAGAATTGCTGGTTTAAAGTCTTATAGAAAAGGTTTCTAGAATTGCTGCATGTGGTATCAAATCTAAAATCTCCAATGCATTTTCAACAGGTGAAACTTCAGAGAGAGCAATCTTTTCATCCTGGTGAAATCACAAGTTTGAAGAGAGTGCACCGGTGTTAGCAATCATGACGTATAAAGGACAGTAACTGACATGCATGATAAACAAAACTAAATTCTTAAATTCCACCCACATTAGTGCATTTGTTTCAGTGCTGGTTCATCCAAAACATGATTCAGTTAACCAAGAAAATCTCGTTCATTTTGGTCACTGAAACAAATATGCAACAAAAGCTTTGAATGTAGTACTGAAACATGGATGGTATTGAATTGGAACACCATTTGCCATTTTGATCTTTGCAACAGCAAATAAGATGTGATACAACAGGAGAAATACCAATTTGACATTAGAAATTAGCCAAAAAGATTGTATAGTTTTGTTAGTTGAGATTGATATGGAACCATGCATGGCTTATTAGTGGTAAAGGTTATGAAATATTTTGCTTATTCGTGATAAGATTTACCTATAACTTTCAATCATGATGAAGAGGAAGAAAGGGCCGACTCTGCGTCCAACTTGGCAGACCTACTCTGTTGTTGTTCCAATTATCAGATGATATACTTTCAAGGCAAGAAAGACTTTCAAAAGTAAAGTCACTGCAAAACAGAAAACTCAGACTCAGGACTTCACATAGCAAATCATGAGGCAAACAGGAAATTGCATGACATTTTTGTTTAGTCAATTATTCGGAAAGCTAAATCAGTATCCGTTTGTTTTTGTTGTTCTTTCCTAACCTAAATCAGGAAGAAGATATCAATCTTTCTGGTCAGTCTACAAGTACCAGAAGTATCATAGAAACTATATTAGTTTTTGTTCAAAACACTGAAAAAAGAAAAGTTCTATGACAATAGTGATGCAACTGCCGTGAAGGCAGACTCTTTGAGACTGCAAGATGCAACAGGTTGAGGTAATTACAACTATTTTACTCTTAAAATCTTATATTATTGCATTTGATCTTAAACTTCAGTAAAGGATAGTCTACCACGTCTTTGCTGCTTGGAAAACACCTTAACATGACAATTTTTGAAGGTTTTAGTTAATGCATTGGTTATTAAACTGCTTAAAACCCAACAATAAGTAATGGACGAAGATTGTTGGTATTATAAATTATCAAAGGACCAATCCCACAACCAAGGGCAGTGGGAGTAACTCGATTGACTATTGGATTTAGGTCAAGAGATCATAGCTGAAGAAAGTAGAATCCCATCATTTAAGAGACATAATAAGAATACCAATAATCAGGTAATTTGGAGCAAGATGATAAATACATTTCGAAGAAATGGAAGTTCAGAGCAAGCATTTCCATCCAGGTAGAATCTCAAGTTTAAAGAGAATTAGCTCTTTTCAGCAATCATGATATACAACTGGAAGTAGCAGACATATGAGATGAGCAAAAGTAAACTGCTATTTTTTATTTAAAACAAAGAATTTTGTACCGTAGATGAAAATACAAAGTTTTCAGCTTTGACATCATGTTTAACTGTCCACATCAAATAATCTCCTCTTGAACACCTGTATTCCATAATTGAATTTAATATATGGTTAGAGATATTGTTTTCTTCCCGGAACAACGCTTGTTGAGTTTTTTTGAATCAGGCTGAAAAGGCCAGGAAAAGTTCAACAAAGTAGACAACTGACCTTACTGTTACATTACTAGACAACATCTTGGAAGCAGACGTTTTAAACCTTCAGATGTTTTGCAACAAAATCATCTTATTGTACAATTTCTATCACCTGATATTGGATAGATTTAAAAGGATTTAGTAATGATTTTACTGGAGTATATTGTCCTGAAGAAACAAAAAACTGGAAATTGACTCCTAAAATCTTTGTCCATCATTGCCTATCTATAATTTTCTGTGTTCCATCAAACTTTGATTTAACAATCTATTTCATGAATGTAAACGCATTATCTTTCTTTTCTAGCAAATTGATAACCAAATGAAATTTTAGAGTAGTTAGTTGGATGAGAAGCTTTTAGATTGAAAATCTCAGGAAGGCATGTTTGCCTGCATTACAATAAAGATAGAAGAGCAAATTCCATGTCATTTTTGAGCTAGGAATCTTACAGAAAGAAAGGGTTTCTTTTTGTTACCTTTGTTCTAAAACTAATGAGCAGGAAATAAGACTAGATACTAAACACACCTACTAATCCATTTAAAACAAATTCGCTAACCTTACAGTATTTCTTGAAAATTTGCAAGCTCCTCATTGTCAATCTATTTCTCTAATACAAGCTCTATCGCCAACCAAACCCCCCATGATCATCAGCAGAAATTCATGGTAATGATGGCTCTTGATCTTGAAAGACATTACATAAGCTGGGGAAAGAAATTCTAGTGGGCAGTTTGTAGAGGCCAACTGACAAAGATAGACCATTTTATCAGGTTTTAGACACCAGGAAGAAAGAAAAGTGTGCCTGTAGGGTGCCATCCTAATCATTTCTGTCCAATTGAAACAGGATTTGATTCAACAAAGTTTTCAAAAGTTACAAGCTGTGTAATTCAATCAGTAAGTAAGTGCAATTGTAGATTCTAGTTCACATTTGAGCCTGAGATCATTGCAGAACAGAAAACTCGAGTTGAGACAATATGAGAACAAGAAAGCTAATCAGAAAGTTCAGAAATTCAACAATAATTTTGTTCTGTCATTCCCACAAAAGGCTAAAATATGTCTTGTTTGTTATGAAACTAAATAGATAAGCAAGAACTTAGTCGTGTTTACAATTACAGTATTTTGGTTACAACCACAAAGCAAGTACTTACAACTCATAAAAAGAAAATAATAATGGACAATTTGTAGTGCAGGCAAAGCATTTCACATTGAGGCATTGAGAAACAATAGAGCTGTGGGCCACTGAGGCACAATAGAGATCCACATTTAATTGCTACCACAACACCAATTAGTTCTAACTTCTAACTCTGAGCAGTATGTCGGAGATGACAATTTGAGTTCTAAAGCATGTAAATCAGCGCCTCATTATCATGACTACACATCACTGAATTGTTTCGATAGTTTAAAAGAACCATACCCCAATGGATATCTCAGACTTTGACCATCTGAGGCACAGAGAAAGAGAGAATGCCATCCTAGATGTTGCTATTCAGCCGAAGCAGGATCTTGTTCAGCAACGAATTGTAGGACTTTCAAAAAGTAAAGATAGTACGTAAGAGCCATCGATGAGGTTCCCTGTTGAGCTTTGTGCCCAAAATCACTGCAAACTGCAAAGCACGAAAACTCAAACTGAAGACGGTGAATAGCATAGAATAAAAGTAATGGAAATTTTCAAATAATTGCAGTTTTCTATCATTGTAACTGAAGCCCCAAAAGGAGAAACTTACCATAAAAAAAGAAGCAACCAACAATCATAAAAGCAGAGAGAGCTTAAAAGCCTTTATCAAGGTGGATTCATTAACAGTAGCAAGTCGGAACAAGCAGACTTGACCAACCACCGGAATGCTTCAAAACATTGCGCTTAGAGTTAAATGTTGGAAGATACTCCACCAAGTTTTGTGCAACTTCGTTGCTCAAAGAGTACACCTTCCTTGGCTACCTCAAAAATATCTTCGTGATGACAAGATTTCTTTTGTTTCATACGTAATAGATTAGATATTGAAGGGGTTAAAAGTCAAAATTGAGTATGAAAGAAGAGAAGCATATCTAAAATTACCAGAATTTTTAACCAAACATGAAAGTGATGACCAACAGCTGCAAAAACTCCTCAATTGACCATTGTCTTCATGGCTAAAAAGCCAAAATCAAGGAGAAGTGAGCCAGAAAACCATCATATATGACTCTGATGGAGCAATTACTAGTCAAATAGTTCAGATAAATATGCAAGTTCATTATCAAGAGGTAAAAGTTCAGTCCCCTTAGAATCACAATTTTAAACAGAGTGAGATGACTTTAGCAATAATAACTTAAAATCCACAGAAGCAGAGCACGTAAAATAAACAAAAATAGACTGCTAGTTGTTCTAAACGTTGATAGGCTATTTGTAGGAAATTCAGGCCAAAAGTTATTGAGGTCTAGCCATATAGACGGTGCTGAAGAAGTTTCAAAATTCTGACCTCTGTTCGTGAAGCTATTCTTCTATCAATCCTACAAAAACAAAGCATAGAACAGAATATGAACAGAGATACGGTAAAACATCAAAGCACCAGGAGGTGCTTGGGTCATTCTAATTGATGGTTACAAGAGTATTATGTTGTAAGGAGTAAATGAAGAGCACCAATACTTTGAACTTGATAAGAAATGCTAGTGCTGTAGCTTTGAAAGATAATAAATGATGATAAGGAGAGAGAGAATTGTGAAGAAAACCATGGTTTTTAGGTTTCTCACGTTAATAGAGGGAGGTGAAGAGAAGGGAATTGATTGATTGTAAGCAAATTAAGAAAGAGGTTATTGAAGCAATCTTACATGATTGAATTTGATCTGAAGATAGTGGTTATTAACCGATTATGCGTAGGTGTTGAATGTGAGAAACTTTGGACCACTGGGAGTCGGGGCTGCTCTCAGGAGTGCATCTTCTTCTTAACAGAGGAGAACGATAAACCCACAGAAGTTTTAGTTTGGTGAGACTTCTCATGGCATCCTCAGAGGGTAGATGTCGAAGCTCTTTGAAACCAATTAACCACTTTTCAGAGCAGCGAAGTTTCCGGCAGAGCTTTTATACCTCCAAAGTCACGCCAGAGTTAATGACGTGAGAGTGGTCAAGTATTGGATCTGATGTGGCAGGGCCTCCATGTGTGCAACCCAATTAATCCTAATTTACGGAGTGCGGATGACGAAGAGGAGGAGGAGGGGATATCAATCCAGACCAATAAACTCATTGTAAATTGAAGAATTTTCATGATCATCACCATCATCTGAGAAGGGACCAATTTCAAGCTCCCTTAGCTGGTCAGAAACCAAATCCTTTGGGCGTCATGCTTGTTTTCAGTTTGGGACAACAGGTTAATACCAGCAACAGGAGAGAAGGCGTTTGTTGCAAATCAAGTGGAAAGGAGATAAGATTTGCAATTAGTCACCCGAAGCTCCTGGAGATACATAAGTGTAGCATGTCACCTGGCAGATTCGTCAACCACATCGCAACCATCAATCTGCAGCTCTGTAAGAGACATAAAGTTTGCAGGGGAAGGAGTTCTCGACATCTGTTGCAGTGATTAAATTCCAAACGCGCTAACTTGGGAGTGTTGTTGCTGACTCGAGGAGTGTTTTGTTGTTGGCAAAATTAACCATCGAGGAAATTGATCGCCCATAAAAAAAAAGATTAACAACCCTCCAAATTTGGGTGGGGTCGAAGGCCATCTAACACATCTTTGTCGTTGTAGTCGTCACCTTCTAGATCATGGGCCCACTCAAGTTGCAGCCTAAATAGATTTGTCTTTTCAGATAATTTTGCTTCCTCAGCTCCTTCCTTATCCTTTACTAATTCAAGATTGTGTATAATTAATTTGCCTTTGAGGTTCTTCAAGCTTCCAAGCTCTCCAATTCGTCGACCCTTCTCTCGACCCACATTAAAGAACTCGAGTGTCTGAAGGCAAGTCAGCCGTCCCATATTCAGTGGCATTTGAAATTCTTTAGTGGTGTAAAAGTGGAGATGCCTCAAGCTAATCAAATCGCACGTCCCCTTCGGAAGAACTTTAAGAACGAATCTCTTTAGCCTCAGTGTCTGCAAATTATAAAGTTTGCAAACAGATTCCGGCAAAGTTTCAATTGTACAACCCTCAAAGTTGATGTACCTCAAGTGTGTCAGTTTGCCAATTGAGATTGGCAGATTCTGATTTTGTACACCAGACAATTTCAGAACGTGCAAATTCTTCAACTTCGTTAGCATATCATCAGATAAGCTACCCTGACTTAGAAACAATGTATGAAGCAAATTTGATCGACTCTCAAAAAGATTTTTTGCGCCATCTCCAAATGATTCTATTACAAGACAACGAACCTGATTACTATTGTCTTCTGAACCAATCTCCGAATTAATGACTTTAGTAGACTTTGACATTATTGATTTTGAGACGTCGTGCACCATATCATGCATTTTATAACACCTTCTCTCATCATATCTTATTTCTTCCAGCAAAGAACTCTGCAATAAAATTTCCAAGTAATATTCTCCAATTTCCTCCATTGTTTTGTTCTTGAGATCTACTTGAAGGAAGCCTTCTGCCATCCAAAGTTCGATCAGCATATCCCCTTCCATCTCAGCATCCTTGGGAAAAATAGAACAATAAGCAAAACATTTCTTGATGGCTGGTGATGGTAGATTATCAAAACTCAACTGAAGTATTTGCATGGCTTCATTCAAATTCAAAAGTCTATCCTCCAAAATTGATCGCCATTTGTCTTTCCTCAAGCGCAACAAACCACCAAGTACACTTGCAACCAGTGGTAATCCATTACATATTTGTATAGCTCTGTCTTTAATTGCATCCAATTCATTAGGCACTTCTTCCCCGTCAACTACTTTTCCTTTTAGGATAGACCAACAATGATCGCCCGGTAGTCTTCCTAAGGGATAGCCTTTATGTGCTACTAGATGCAAACGAGTAGTGATTAGACACCAGCTTCCTTTGGGTGGATTGATTGGATTGAGTCCCGTCAAGGTGTTGAAGAAGTCATCCCACAATGTCTGACTATCATCCCACACATCATCTAGAACCAGGAGATATCTTAATTTCCCTAGTTCCTTCCCAACTTCTTGAACGATGTTTTGCCTATCTCCCACTTCATCCTTTTTGTCATTCAATTGGCCTAAAATGAGTTTGAAAAGCTCCACCCTTGGAACTTTTTCCGATACGCAAACCCAAATCTTTTTCTGAAAGTGCCCATCAATTTGGTGATTGTTGTATATCGATTTAGCCAAAGTTGTTTTGCCTAGACCTCCCATACCATTTATGGGAAGAACAGAAACAACCTTCTCGGACGGCTCAACAACATCTTCACTATCTTTGATTCATCATCGGCTCTTCCAACCATTGGAGCAACAACAGAGTCGGTCTGCCGATTTCTCGTGTCTCCAGCAGGAGGAGCAGCAGGGAGGGCAGCTGTCACGACTGCCCTACTGACCAGTAGCAATCCATGGGCTCGTTGATTGATCTCATTCAACTTATCTTTGATGTCCCTGACCTTAGAAGCCATTCTCCAACGAAGAGCAAGATTAATGTTAGAGAAGGAGAAGAAGCAGCATACCTTGAGCTTGTGTCGGTTTCGGGACTCCACCTGGTGACGAAGAGATTCATAGTGGAGCTCATCCAACACATTGTCAGCATCATAAGCAACCTCCTCGAGACTATTCAACCATTCTTGCACTGCTCCGTCCTGGTTTTGCTTTGCTTCAGCATCAGCCAAGACAGCATTGATCAGGCGGAGAGAACGTGTCATGCCGGCCACATCCTTCTTGAAGCCAACCAGCAAACCAATCCTATCAGAGGCAAGAGACAGTGCCCTTTCCAAGGTGACCTGAATTGTGGAGCTGATAAGAGCGTCAGCCATTTTTTTTTTTTTGGAATAGCTTGGATTCAGTCCTGAGATCAAGATGGTTTTTTTAAAATGGGAGGTTTTAGCGGCCAGAAATTGGTAATGTTACAAGTGGTTAAAAAGAGGAGAGCATTGGTATTTGGTCGCTTAAAAGTGCAGACTTATTCTTAACTTTGGTGCCTTCCTTTGCAACGGAAATATATATTCCTTGCTTGGCATCTTCACTTTAACTTTCTTGCTGGGGCTTCATCTTTATTCCAACTCCATTGAGGGCTTCATCTTTATTCCAATTTCCAATTCCATATTTCATTCGTTAATCCTTGAAAGATGAACTAATTAGAACATAATTTGGTCTGAATACAAAAATCTATTGGGCTTCTAATTATTTTGTAATTCAGAATCTGATATTGTTGAGCATTGAGCCTTTTCAACTTTGCATAATCAATATGCTGAGTCTAATTTGGTGGTGGCGCCATCAATGAGTACCCCACATTATATTCCTTGCTTGTGTTAATGCCTGTGGTGGATGAACTTTGGCAAAGAATAACTTGGAATGTGGATTTGCAACGGCAAATAGAGGCCTAAACAATTATTCAGCCTAACTGATTTAGAAAATTTATCTAAAAAAATCAACCACAGTGCGATGGTGATTTATAGATTGATTATCACATAAACAAACAAACTCATGCTTGTAAGGCATATAAATTATATTTAACCAAAACATTTCAATTGAAGATAAACAAAAAAATTTTTTGAACTTCATTAGAATCGGGAGGTAACATTTATGTCTTCCTCCATCTTATACTTATTTTCAAGTGACTTAATAAATTTTAACTTTTATTTGGGAAAAAAATTTAAGTTGTACAATTACCCTAATTGGTGCCCCCGCGGACTAACTCGAGCGGTCCGCTCCCCCTAGTTAGGGAATGGCGACCAAAAGGTCCTGGCCAACCAGGGTTCGAGTCCCGTGTGCAACGTTCAGTGATGTTGGGGCAGCCTCTCCCGGGTCGCAGGAGATTAGTCGGGTCATTAGGTATTACCGGTCCGAAGACCCGGATACCCGTGTGGACAAAAAAAAAATACCCTAATTGGTGAGAAATTTCAAGTGGCATAAGCATAGATGTTGAAAACTCCATGTTCCACCTCAGCTTCTGGTTGCCGATAACAAGCACCAGATTGAAATGGCCCAGAACACAACATCATTGATGTACTAAAATTCTTTGTTAATTTTTGGCTGTCAAGATGGAAATTCACCAATCGTCATTTTGTGGGTGGTTGCTTAATGCATTACATATTTGGCCAGGAATGAACAGCTCAAAGTCATCTATTCTAGCAAGTAGAAAAAAACCAAACTTCAGCAACCAAAAAATAAAGAGAAAACTAGGAAAGAACACTTGCGTTGCATGTGTATATTGTTGAGGAAAACTCGTTTAACTTTTAAATTTATGTAATATGACTGGAAGCTAAAAAAATTCGAAACTTACAAACTTCTTAAATTGCTTTTTCAATTAGGCAAACTACTTTTTCAATTAATGGATGATTAAAAGCTTTTGCTTTCATTATTTCCTATCTTAGTTTCTTTTGGAATTGTTCATAATCTTTTGTAATGTTTATCTTTTGTTTATCGTGCAGTTTAGTAGTGGATAACATGAGTCAAAGAAAAAAATTGCTTTTAATGAGAATATAACACAATAGTGATTCACTATCCATATGAAAGAGAATCAGCTAGAACATTTTTTGGTATAATATGATTCCAAATATTGCATGGGAAGCGTAAACTTCTTTTTATCTAATTTGTTTCAACTTCATACTTTTCCTTCTTTTTTTAGTTTATATTGACAATTACTTGATGAAGCACATTCAAATACATAATAAACTTGATAAAGATGAAGCGAGCATGCACATTATGGGTTTGTTTGGATATGTGATTATTTGGAAATAAAATTTTAATTACATCATAAAAAATGTTTTCAAATCATTTTGTTATCTTTTTAACTACAATTTTCCTTACATATATTATGTCAAAAATTACTAAAGTAATAAATCTATGTGATGATGCTGCATTAGTAAATGTTGTGTGCGTTCATAAATATTTTATTTTGACTTTTAGAAATGCATTTCCCTCTAATTTTGAAGTATACACATTTTCAGATTTGCTTCAATCTTAGTCCATACTAAGAAAAAAGCTCAAATTCTTTTTTATATCCATTCCTATAACACACAGGACAAAGAATTCTGATGAAAAATCATTTTATTTCTTTCTACTTGATGTTTAAGTATCTTGACAAAGTTATGTTATTTGTACATGTAGGTTTATTCTTTGTTGTGAATAGTTTCTCATCAATATTTGTGATTCACTGACCTAGTTCCTAGATTTTCCTCAACCATTTGATCAATGTATATTTTTGAAAACTCTTTTAGACTAATTAGTTATTCACTGTTGCAACTAATCATCTATTGTCTTATTATCTTGAAACTAATAAATCATGTGACTCAATTCAAAGAAATGAAGCACTATCTTTGTAGCTCCTACTAGGGTATTAGTTTCTTTTCCTTATGTTTTCTTGACTTTTCCTAGCAGTAGAAATTTGTGCTTTCTAGTTTTTATACATTTTTAGTATTTTTCTGTTTCTTCAAAGGAAAAAATTTTACCGATGATTAAGAACATCGTGCATCAACCAAAGTCCTAACTAACTAAATTAAAAAATGGTAGATTGTAATGCTTAATAATTCAAGAGATTGATGAACAATATTCAAGAAGACCTTTCTGTTTAAGTGCAAGTATAGAAGAGAGAGAAATGCCAAATTGCAAGTTAAGCTTATTCTTTTGCCATTTCAATCAAGAATGTCATTTCCAGCCTTCAAAAAGTAAAGATTTACTCACATTGACTAAAATGAAAATATTTTTTGTGTCACTAATTTTCATTTTTTATAAATTTGCACAAACTATCATAAATAAAATTTAATAAACCTAACAAAAAACTTTAAATGCTAGTCATATACAAATCTCCAAGACTGTTTGCCAAGATTGAAATAGTGAGGGGTAGATCTCAACACTCAAATAATGAGACATTGTACTGTAACTTCAAATCACCTTTTGTGGAATTTGGCATATCTATAAAACATTGTCTAAGGTATAATAGTGAGACCTAAAATATTTGTTGTTAGAATATAATCTAGCTAATCCTTATTTTTAGGACTATGTTGTTTAATACTTTTTTAGGTTATGTTATTTAATGTTGGTTGCCAGGGAATCATTAATGTTTCTAACTTTCACTAACTTATACTAATAGTCTTTAGAATTGCTTGCGGGTTTTTTTTTTTTTTGTTATTATGATAAGAATAAGCATTTGACTCCAAATATAACTTAAAATTTTCATTGGCACCAGCTTCTTGTACTTTTTTCTTTCTTCTTTATCTAAAATGCTTAAAAGGGATAAAAAAAATTGAAAGTTACCTAACACGAAAGATAACTTGGAAACCGTTGATGCTCAAGAAAAATCTTTAAAATTTAAATAACTTGTAAACTAATATTAAGTGCTTAAATTTCAAATCTCTAAAATTTCAGACAAGGTTTGGAAAGTAAGAAGAAACAGAATGATTGGTCTAATTTTACTTTTACACGGTTAGAGATCCTTAATTGTAAAATTTGTCCTAAATATGCATCATAATCAAGATTGCTCACAAAACATAATGAATAATTAGAGAGGATTATTCACAAGTTTAGAAAATTTTATATTTATATAAATTTTTTAACCTTTAGAATAATAACCAATTAGAATAGTAGACTATCTACAAAGCATTTTAATTTTAGTCATTGGTAAGATTGATGAAGGTTTGCATCTTCATCTTGGATTGTTCCTTCTTTCTTATTTCTTCTTTGACTCACATATATATATATATATATATATATATTTTTGGATTTCACATGCACTTATGCCCATTGCTAAAAGTTTTGTTCCATACTTTCAAAATAACTCATAATCCAGTATATCCTTATTTTAACTCTTTGAGATACTAGTACTATTTAAAGTTTTCTCATTCTCATATTCTCCGGTTCTTCTTGCCAATAGTCATATAGCTTGTTTTAGATAGTTATGATTTTCATTATGCTAAAGTTTACTATATAGGTTGCTTACATAAACAAATTGAGAAGTTTGATGAATTTATTTGTATCCTACATTAACTAATGTAAAAGGCTTTCATCTTTCATGGATGCAATTTGTTTTGTCAGTTTTAAATCTTGCAGATTTGTTTGCGTTAATACATAAATGAACATGGTTCCTTTTTCTTTTTCTATATAGAGCTCTAACATTGTCGTCTAGATTATTAAATCATATTCACAGATGTATTTAATGTATTTTACAACTTAGTTATAGCTTTTGAAAATTTGAAATTTTGCTATAGACTTTTGTAGGTATGGCATAGTGATTCCTATTTATTATACATCACGATTTTCAATGAAATTTTATTATGATTCCTATTTTCTTCCTTTCTGATCTAAGGAAAATTATCTAAGGATGAAAAATTTTGATTCTTTGAATAGAGAAAATTATATACTAAAAATACATTATTCGAGATAAGGAATTGATATGTAAACAAAAACCATCTCAATTGACATGTTAAAGTGAAGATTTACTCTGATCATTTGAAATTAGTCTACCATAAAATAGTCTCATTTGACATAACAATTTTTTTAGCATGCCAATATGAAAAATGTAACATAAATAGACTATATTTTTAGTTACTTTTCCTTGGTTTTGTTGCTTATTGTGATATTTGGAAAAAAAAAAAATAGGGTTATTATCACTTTATCCCTTCAACTATATCACTACTATCAGTTTACCCCCTAACTATATCTTTTAGTCACTTCACCCCATAAGTAATTCAATTCAACATGTTAAGAAATTTTGGACATAAATACCCTTTTATTCTATAGCATCACTATATTATTATTATTACTTTATTCCTTTAAATTATAGTGATATAATCGCTTTAATTCCTAACATTATTTTCTAGGCATTTTACTTCATCGTTAATCTAATTAGTATGGTCAAAATTTTTTAAATATATTGACTCTTTTATATATATAATTAAAA